GTGAGAAGTTTTTTTTTTTTCCTGTTCTGAATGACCCAGTCATGTTTTACAGCTGGAACAATTACACCTTCCATTTTCTACTACTAATCCCCAAATTCTAGTCTGTGTTCTTTCTTACAGGTATTACTAGCAAGCATACTTTCTTGGGCATACTTGAATCTAATCACACTCTTGCTTTTTTTTCAGATAAATCCACTAAGCCTTGAGTACCACACAGAGGCAAAGATGCTGCTTGTTATAGAGTCTCCTCTGCCCCAAATAAATCCCATGACAACCCTGGAATTCAGCCACTTCCTTTTTTTCTCAGAGAGGATGAGTTCCACTCTCTATCCTCATCGCCACACACTCTGAATCACCTTCATCAGAGAAGATACTCACTCCTTTATCTGGAGGTATATTGAACATAGTGCTTAATACATAAAAAAAACTAAACCAGCTGCCCTCAAGTCGATTCCAACTCATGGCGACCCAATGTGCAGCAGAGTAGAATTACATTCGATAGGGTTTTCAAGGCTGTGACCTTTCGAATGTAGATCACCAGGTCTTTCTTCCCAGGTATCTGTGAGTGAGTTCAAACAGCCAACCTTTCAGTTAGTAATGGAGCACTTAACTGATTGCATCACTCAGGGATTCCAGTTGATATATAAACCTGTAGCTGTCAAGTCAATTCCAACTCATAGCAACGCTGTAGGGCAGAATAGAACAGTCCCACAGAGTTTCCAAGGCTGTAATCTTTACAGAAGCAGACTTCCACATCTTTCTCCTGCAAAGTGGCTGGTGGATTTGAACCACCGACCTTTCAGTTAGCAGCAAGTCCTTTAACTACTATGCCAGTAGCTCTCCTAGTTGACATATAAACCAAGCCTATTGCCATCGAGTTGATTCCGACTCATAGTGACCCTATAGGACATGGCCCTATAGGGTTTCCATAGAGTGGCTGGTGGATTCAAACTGCCAACCTTTTGGTTAGTAGCCAAGCTTTTAACCACTGCGCCACAAGGGTCCCCAGTTGATATGTAGTAACACTAAACTCATGCATAATAAGACCAAAATATCAAAGTATGAGTGCTATCATCTTTCTTCTCCCTCTATTGGCCAAAGAAGATGTTGACTCTGCCAGTTAAATTTGGGTTGTCTTCCCATCCCCACTGGAGAAAGTAAGTTCTGCCTTTGTTGGACTGGTATTTTAAAGTATTCTTTTTTTTTTTTTTCTTTTATTGTACTTCAAGTGAAGGCTTACAGAACAAATAGTTTCTCATGAAACAGTAGTACACATGTTGGTTTATGACATTGGTTAACAACCCCACAACATATTAACCCTCTAACTTCTCAACTTTTTTTTTTGGTGAAAATACACATAGCCAAAGATACACTGTTACAAAAATTTCTACATACACGGTTCAGTGACATTGACTACGCTCTTCCAATTGTGCTGTTTTCTCACTTAAGATGAAGTCTTACAGAACAAAATAGTTTCTCATTTAACAGTTACTACAAATGTTGCCCTATGACAACGGTTACCAATCTCACAACACATCAACAATATCCTTACTCAACCTTGGGTTCCTTATCACCAGCTTCCTTGTCCCCTTCTGCCTTCTGGCCCTTGTCACTAGACTCCTGTACCTCGTTAGTCTCATTTGGTTTTACGGGGCTGTCCACTTCCAGGCTGAACAGTGAACCTCGGAGGTAGCTTTACCACTGAGCTAAAAGGGTGTCTGGGGGCCATACTCTCGGGGTTTCTCCAGTCTCCTTTAGGCCAGTAAATCTGGTCTTTTTTTTGTGAGTTAGAATTATGCTCTACATCCTTCTCCAGCTCTGTCCAGAACCCTCTGTTGTGATCCTGGTCAGAGCAGTCAGTGGTGGTAGCTGGGCACCATCTAGCTGTACTGGACTCAGTCTGGTGGAGGCCTTGGTAGCTGTGGACAATTAGTCCTTCAGACTAATCTTTTCCTTGTATCCTGTTCTCTTCATTCTTCCTTGTTCCCGAAGGGATGAGACCAGTGGAGTATCTTAGATGGCCACTTACAGGGTTTTAAGACCCCAGACACTACTCACCAAGGTAGAATGTAGAGCATTGTCTTATTTTAAAATATTCTTGCTACAGAGTTGGGAAAATAGGGGGAAGTGAGATGGAAAAAAGGCAAATGGGAAGGGTGATTTTTCAGGAAATTTATGGACGAGAGGCACTTAGTTCACACTGTGAGAACATTAAGAGGAAGGAAAAAGAGGTATGTAGGAGACATTGCTTGGGAGTGATGAGGATGTCATAGTAATTTAAGTCATTTAATATCCTTCGAGAAATGGGAAGAAAAATGGAAATCTTTTAAAATTATATTTTGTCCCTTGAGTTGTACTTCTTATTGAGATATCTCTATATGAGCTGTGGCTCTGATAATATAATTTAGAAACATTATCCTCCACACAATTTTCATGAAAACAGAAGACAGCGGAGCTGTTTTCCCTAGTGAAACACAGTATCATTTTACTGCATAGAATTAATACTTTATTTTACCTGATAAACTAAATAAAGGCTATCTATAAGAGGTCAGTAGTAAGATAAAGGGAAAAAAATTCACTTTAATTGGCTGAATGAAGATGCTTTCTGGGAACAAAATCTTACTAGTAGCTAGTTTAAAAACTTCAAGAGTTAAGTACATTTTTATGAAATTTTAGGAGTTATGTAAATTTTTTGAAATTAAATTTTTGTCTTTTTTTCAATGTTAAACTATATTTTCAAATTATTAATATAATTATGGCATGATAATGAGTTAATGTACTATATCTTAAAAGGATATTCTTGCTAGTTTATAAGGACATTTATGTAAAATATGATATTTGGTAATATTGAAATCTCACATTATTTCTTTGTGGTTTAAACAATAGATATATGTCATCTTTTAATAAAAGATTCTATCCATTGAATAAAAGTGTAATCATGCTATTTTTATTAAGTTCAACTTCAACTTCTTTTTCTTCTTACCTTCATTCCTCCTTCCCTCTCTTCCTTTCCTACCTCTTTTCTCTCCTCTCTCCTTCCCTCTCTTCCTTCCTTTTTTTCCTCCCTCCCTTCCTCCTTCATTCCCACTTCCTTCCTTACTTTTTCTTCATTTCTCCCTAAATCCCTAAGCAATAGGAGTCAGCATGGCAATTGCAAAAAGCAGTAGAATTCACCATGACTGAATATCGATTTTGCTTTGTATTGTATCTTGACTCAGGGCTATGCCCGTGACAAACTAGACCAATGGAAAAGACATTGTAAGAGAGAGAAAAAACAGAGATTAGGTGTGTGTGTGCATGTGTATGTGTATGCAGAACCAATTAGAAATGAGAGGCATCCACCTAAAACTAAGTTTGCTTGAACTACTTTCATTAACATAAAGAATTAGTAAACTGACAATGAGATATCATCTCATCCCAACAAGGCTAGCATTAATCCAAAAAAACACAAAATAATAAATGCTGGAGAGGTTGTAGAGAGACTGGAACATTTATACACTGTTGGTGGGAATGTAAAATGGTACACACACTTTGGAAATCAATTTGGTGCTTTCTTAATAACCTAGAAGTAGAAGTACCGATCCAGCAATCCTGCTCCTTGGAATATATCCCAGAGAAATAAGAGCCATCACATGAATAGATATATGCACACCCATGTT